GCTGAACATCCAGCTTATTGCTGGAAATATCAACATGAAGCAAAATGTACCCCTAAAGTGAGAATTTCTCAAGTGTTTCTGAAGAGGCCTGACTAAGCCAACAAACACTCCCAGTCATCTCCCAGCTCTAGGTGACAGTTTGATACTTTCTTCTCATTATTTGTTTTTAGTCCATTAGAGTTCTCATCCATGAATTGCTCTCTTGAATGTTTTTAATTAACAAAACTAAATTTTGGCTAATACTGGATTTTTTCAATCCAAGTAAACCAGCTTAAAATAAAAATAAGCCAAAGCTCTGGCAAATACATTCAGGTCAGCCCTTCACTAGATAAATTGTATAACTTTAGTAAGGCTAGTCTCAAAGACTGGATCACAGTGCATAATATATTAAAAAACATTGGGAGAATTCCAGCATCCAGTATTAAGTGGGTAGTTGTAATTCCTGCAGGATAAAGAATGATAAAGAAACAAAATGTTTTAATCCTCTGCAAATTTGTCTAACATTTAATCTAGCTACTAACCATATGATATGTCTTTTCTCAAGCAGTCTTAATTTGTTCTTAATTCTACTAATTAGGACTATAAAACTAAGGGAGAAAGTGGAAATCATCAGCAATTAAATTCATATTTCTTTGTAAAGCTACGGCTCATACGTGACATTCATATTCAGAGCTGTACAGGAATCCTCAGCGTGGATCTGTGCTTTCAGAATAATTGACATTCATTCAACAAGTCAGAGCACAATCATCTCACTAACACTGCGCACTCCTGTAGCACCTTTCATCTCATCATCTCAAATCACAAACAAAGACAATTAATATTAATGAAGCCTTTAACAATCTGGAAGCAGAATTCCCTTATGAGGCATAATAAGGCAGTAACCATCTTTTCTCTCCAGTGCTTCCCCCTCCTATAAACATCCTCTCCATCTTTCCCAGGTCCAGCTCCATCCAGCTGTTCTTCAGCTAGTCCCCTGTGTCAGCCAAGCCCCCAGGGCTCAGGCAGAAAGTTGGGTCTGCATCTGATAGGAAAGTGATGCACAGCTGGCTGTTGTCTGTGTCTTGCTTTGGCTACGGATTTGACATTTGAATCAGAGAATCATCAGCTTTATGGATGATTTGCAGAGATAACCCAGTGTTTTGCACTGTTGTTACCAGGGTGAAAGCTCTGTTGATGGCAGCACAGCACTCGAACGCACAGCACTGCTTACAATGGTGTAGTGAGTGTTGCTCATCACTGAGCACATCACTACACAGTGTCTTAAGTGTCTTAAGCTAAATCACTCCAATTAAATGAAAGTGTGTACAAAGGGACCGCGTTAATTTAACTAAACCTTGCTAACATGATAATTTCCTTATATGGCCAAAGCTGCTGTCGTCTGCTCTCACATCCCCACAGCACACAGCCATCATCATACCTGGGGCTTTTAAGAACAATTGGTAAAACAGAAGGAGATGTTGCAGTGTACAGCACAGCTAGTGTATGCTGTTATCCCACAGGGAATGCCAGGTAGCAGATCAGGCTGCAAGGGGTAAGTAAACTGAACTGTCTCACCTGCACTGAGGTGAGGAAAGGACAGAACAGTTCAAGAAGAGTAACTAAAGTGCTGCACGTCAACCTCGTATCTTGCCTGGTAGTAACTTGTCTGTGTAACACTAGTTTGCCCTAAAGCAACAGCCTTACCAAAATGACCAATCATCACCTTTATGTGGCTTGTCTGTTCTCACACAGCAGTCCAACAAAACCCCCTCATTGTCAATCTTCTGTTTCAATCATTAGACAGTACTACTACCCTTTAATTAAAACTCTTCTCCCTCTGCTTTACCCTGAAAATGATAATTAATTCTCTTTGTTGCAATTGCTCTCAGTGCCTGATGCTACTGAAACAGATTCTACTTCATAATTTTAAGTGCAACTATAACGTCACATTATCATCACTTAAAATAGCAATACAATTGGTTTTACTAAAGGCAGTGCTGCACAGCATGCTCTTGCTGCGACTCCATTAGCAGCAGGCATATGCTGCTCCTGCAAAGAGGAAAGCAGGTCTGGAAAATGTCTCAGTTCAGTATACATTTAACTGTTCATATATATAGCGATGCTCTTTGGAATGAGAATGGGCTTTTCACATATACTTAGGTGTCGTCCTGTCTCGGAGCTTGAGCAGGACTTTGAATAAAAAATCTTTTGGTTAGAGAATTCAGGTTCCTCCTTGCATAAATATATGTATATGAAAGTATATAATTGGGTCATAGGCTGTCACTCTCTTCTGCCTCTAGGTTCAGAAGCTTTGAGCTGAAAATAAATCAGTTCTGAAAATGATCCTATTAGAATCACCACACAAATCTTGATTCCCAAATGCCGCATGGAAATATATAACTTTTTAGCTTTTTTTCCCAACTACTATGATTCCTCTTTGAAGCCTGTAGAGGGTGTGCTCTCCATTTCAAATTAGGATTGTCTTTCTGCAAAGGAGTAATCTAGCAAACTGAAGTTATAAATTAGGTCCAGATATTATTGGGTGAAATATTATGGACTGAGGTACACAGAAAGTCAGAAAAGATGGCAACAAGAGTCCCTTTTGGAATGAAAAATCTATTGGTCTCACTGCAGGTCTCACAGAGTATGGTCATTGTCTTCCTTTGTAGCTCAGCTGTGAGCAAAGATGAAGCTGTTGGCCTCACTTCAGACGCTTGTTCTGAAGTCTCAGAACTATATTAAAATAAAATTTAGCAGGGACTGTACAGCTCTAATCTCAATTCTTTTAATCAGGAATGAGATCCTCTTTTTGAAAAGAAAACTGTTCTTGACCAAGCCACTGCAAAGTCTACATCACTTGTAATTTTAGTGATGAAAGTGTATCAGGAGGCACTACAGTTTATGAGTCATCTCACAGGAGTACTTAGAAAAGTAGATTACAGCACCCAGGGGTCTCAGGAGTACATCCCTGAACACTGACTCTGTCTTGAGCAGCTCATTATCTAAGTAGGGAAGACAAAATATGCAACAAAGGAATATTCTTCTCCCCAGTTACAACAGGGAGACTGTGGCAGAGCCAGAAACTGAAACTACAGCTCCTGGGTCTCACTCCAGGTATTCAGAAGCAAGATCCAAAACTTTAATTCTGAGGAACTGTCTCTCTGTTGAGCCTTGCTCAGTCAGGTACAGCTGTATGGCATGAGTGCGAGAGAGTGGCAGTCTTCTGCACCCATCCAGCCCTTGCCCTCTAGGAGGGCAGATAACTAATTTATCATGGGAGACCCAAGACACAGTAAACAGAAGTTGTTTCCAGTTCCATAGAAATTATTATTTTATTTGTTCATTTTTAGGAACATGTTTCCAGCCAATCTTGTTGAGGCCACATTCAAGCAGGTAAGTGGCTATATTCCTTTTACCACTGATGGGAGATGAGCCAGCATCACGCAAAACATGTATCTTTGTAAAACAGAAGCCAGATAAAGACATTGCATATTACTTCAGATACTGTTAGTACCTTCAGCATTTAGGAATTAATGAGACCCTTTCATTAGCATCAGCAGCCTTGGTATCTGAAGGCAAAACAAACAAGCATAAAATACACAGTGTGACTAGAGAATAGACATGCACAACTATGTCAGCTCCATCTTCACCTGAGGCCAGATCTTTGAGAACCCTGAGAAAGGTGCTGTGGGGAAGCAGAACAATTTATGCCAGTACGCCTAGAGCATAGTTTCTCTTACCACGGGACTCCAATCACAGAGTAGCTAGAATCTCTTTAAGAGCACACAGTAACACCCCACGAAGGAAGAACAGAATACTATGTCAAATTAAAGCAACAAAATAATGTATTTGGGAAGAATCTAATTACTCAGATTGGAATTTGGCCAGAAAACCTCATCTAAAAGTTCTGAGTGAGCAAGAGGCATGGCTATGTTATTTCACCTGGGGGAATATTTCATGGGAACCTTACCTCTGGTGAGACAAAGAGAAGGCACTCAGAACCTCTAGGGAGTCATTCCTGATTATGTCTTTTAGGAAAGTAGCTCTATGAGGTGATGATGTGTTTGCTGCACAAGAGTCTGATTATAGGAAACTGATTTTGCTATGCTTTTCCAAAAATTAAACTGTTTTTACAGATTTTAGCAGCATAGGGACAGGAGCTGTCATTCTTCTTTTCATGCTTGTCCCTTTAACATGCAGCCTTGTTGAAACAGAGCACTTAGAAGGTCTCTTTCCTGCTGGGATATTATAATAAAAACTATTTTGTTTTCTTTCAGTATCGCACTAAGAGTATTCCCATCATTAAATCTAACAAAGCATCATCTGAAAGCACGACTCGTCGCATTATAATATATGGAGTCCAGGATGAGAATGGATCCAATGTCCAGAATTTTGCCTTGGATATCACTCCCCCTCCTGAAGTGATTTACAAGTCAGAACCAGGCGCTAGTGACGGCATGAATGTGCTAGGGATTGTGATATTCTCTGCCACAATGGGTACGTTTCAGACATGTTTGGTTTGTAATAAACCAAGTATATCCGTTTAAGAGAAAAAGATAGGGGTTGGGTTGTTTGGTTTCTTGATTCACCTTTTTTAACTGCTTCTATCTAAATTTTGTGGGGAAAAAGGCAAGACTCTTACAGAGCTGTTCTCCCAACCTTTCAAAGATAAATCTTCAAAATACTTTTGTCCATGTAGTTCTGTTTTCTGTGCATGCACTTACATTCTTTTTGTTTTACTTTCTTCTGGATTATTTTGAGCTTTTATTTATGAACCATTTTTTCCTGACTGTAAGAAACACTGATACAGTGTGCTCAGAGGAGGTAGGAATTACTGTACCAGGTCAGACCCATGGCGCTCTGCCAATATTCTGTTTCACTCCTTGGAGAGTAGCAAAAATCCCAGACAAAGTTTCAAGAAATTCTGAAATAAACAAGTCCGTAGCAGACTTTCTTTCCAAAGCCCAAGAAGTTAGTACACTTCTATTGCCCAGAGCTCCACGTGTTGTATTAAAGGAATAAAGAACTTTCTGCACTGCTCTTGTTTCAGGGGGCATCAGGCTGAGACACCTCCCTGCTCTCGTGGCTGGACATTTCACCCCTGCAGCTGGCAGTCCAAGCAAAACCTGCTCCCAGACCAACTCCTTGGCTAAAGTTCCCCTCACCAGGCAGAAAATTACTTTAGCCCTGTAACCTGCCCTGTCTGTTGTCCTTACCCATTCTTGGTCACATTTTACCACATGATTAGTTTAAAATATAACTGTCACTGTAAGAACCCAACTCTGATAACGAGCCTCAGTGATATCTCAAATAAGTGAGCTACAAAGGTATATTGATTTATCAGTTTTAAATCTGTGGATCTGCTTTTTGATTGAAACTTCTTGATTTCATTGTTGCCATCCTGCAATGCTAATTGTTATATACCATCTAGCAGCTTATCACAATGGACTCTAAGAGCTTCTGTCTGGCTAATTTATTCAGTTTAACTTGCTGAAGGAACTCATTGGTGCCATGTGTGTTATATTATGTTTGTGGATTTGGAAGAGGGAATTTAAACAAACATGCCCTAGATAATCATAAAGTTCTGATGATTTTTACAAGAAAATGCTGATCAAATTTTCCTTATCTAAATTTATTCTTGGAAGTTAATCTGGTCAGCAGAGGTAGTTCCATGAAACGTCTTTGACTGTATTTATTGTATTATGGTTCATACCAGCACAAGGGGTCAAAAATCAAGCCTGGAATTAGCAGATTTGTCTCTTTTTTTTGGTTTCTCCAGTGTGTGGTATTCCATATGCAACAGTGCTGGAAACTAGCTGCCCCCCAGTTTGTAATATTTTATAGTCCACTCCTAAGGTACAATGTCCCAGCAAACACTATTCCAGTCAAAAAGTATTGGATATGAATGAATGAATTACATGTGCTTATTAGGATCAAGGGCAATTTTATACTTCTGGGCACAGAAGGTCAGTCATTGTGTTCCCAGAACTGAATGTATTACTTTTACCATGCCCCTAAGTCTTGCTGGCCTGGGCCTCAAGAGATGGAAGCTGAGAGCTGGTTTCTTCCTGGCTGACATAAAGAAAATGTACTGCTGGGTCACCTGTGACTGTATCAGCCATGAACAAACCTGAGACACTAAACCCTCAAAACTTGTCATCTATCAGTGACTATTTCAGATTGTCATTTTGAACAAAGGATGTAGCCAAGCATTTATCACTGTCTTCAGCTTTCTGCACCCCCCAAAAAATGAAGGCAATGAAACAGGAGACATATGGCTTGAATCTCTATGAAAGAAGAGCATCCTTCCAAAGTTTTTATTTATTGCAGAAGAACGTATACAGGCCTTGGTGCTTGGTAACAGTTTTGCTCACTTTGGCTGAGTCTTATTTGCACAAAGGTCTTTTTACACCACTTTGGCATAGAAAAACAGCATTAGGGTGGGTATGAGTTCTTATTACTGCCTTGATGCTGGGCTCAGCTGTGATTAGCTATACTACCTCTTCTCACACAGTGTGCAGGAATTTCTGTCAGAGATTATGACAAGTGCCTAAGACATGAGACATCTGATCTTTTTTTCTTGGAGGAGCACACATTATTTATTCACTACAAGGAAAATGTTTGCACTGAAATGGCACTTGCTACACTAGGGCTGCAGACAGGAGGCCCCAGTCCTGCTCGCTCCCCTGTCTGTCCCCACCAATAGCCACATGCTTAGGTAGGACAGTGTTTTAAGAGGCAAATTTCAGTTATTCCTGTAAAATAAAAGAGAGAGTGTTCCTTCTTTTTTGCATTATACAGAATTAGAAGTTAAGACTCTTGTAAAACTGCCACCAAGCAGGCTACAAAAGCTGGACTATATTTAAGGTCCTGTTACCAAAGATGAGCAACATGCTTAATAAAAGAGTGTTGTTTTCTGGCCTAAAAGTTACAGCGTAGCTGAATATTAACAGGCTTATAAACCCACATCTTGAATGCACTGTTATTGTGAAATCCCTAGATAAAACAGCTGAGAGCCTCCCTCCCTGCCTCAGGAGGGGATTGTCCTGGAAGCGATGCTCCCTGAGACCTGGCTCGCAAGTGCAGATGTGGGCGCTGAGGGATAGAGCCTGGGCTCCTGCTCAAAGCAAGGACACTGCATATCCAGAGCCAGTGGCAGCACGCACCCCACTCATAGGCCCCTGCTTCCTCATGAAACTCCCTTCAAAGGCAGTCTCACTTGGTGCAGCTAGCTTTTGAAGTGCTTCCTTGAGCAATTGACTCAATCATAGAATCATAGAATCATAGAATCACAGAATCATAGAATGCTTTGGGTTGGAAGGGACCTTTAGAGGTCATCTAGCCCAGCCCCCCTGCCATGAGCAGGGACAGCTTTAACCAGATCAGGTTGCTCAGAGCCCCATCCAACCTGACCTGGAATGTTGCCAGGGATGGGGCCTCTACCACCTCTCTGGGCAACCTGTTCCAGTGCTTGACCACCCTCATTGTAAAAAATTTCTTTCTTATGTCTAGTCTAAATCTATTCTTCTTTAGTCTAAATCACTTATAATCCCTTCAGGGAGTGATGGCAGAAAATTAATAAAATAGGAAAATGATGTCTATTTATATGCATTATTGGAAACTAACACTGTCTGGAGAATATACGGCTAGATGACACATCCCAGAGCTGTATTCTTTTCCTTTCTGAGCACTGGGTGCACATAAATGGGTTTTCTTTCTTCTTTGCTGCTTAGTCTGTATAGCAATTTGGCTTTTCTTCACATGAATGTGCATTTCCTTATCTCCCCCAAGTTTGTAAAGCCTGACTGATTATGAGGGTTGGTTGTTATTATGTAGACAGATATCTACTAAAAATAGGATGGAGACCCCCCCCATATTAACTCCCTATTGCCAGAACAAACCTCAATACTGGCTTTGCCCCATGAGTGTCTCATGGATGCTGCCCAGTTCTATGCAGTGCACAGCAGTAAGGCAGACTGCAGGCAGAGATAGCTTCCTTCATTAGAAAAATGTTTTTAAGTTTGTCTTCCATGGATCCCTCAGAGCCGGTAAATCCTTCTCAGGGCTCTATGAAAGATAGTTAAGGAAACCAGCTTGCTACCAGGAGGACTAAATCTACAGCACAAAAGTACCTCCACAGGGAGAGTTTCAGGGAGCTGCAAATGAAAAACCACCCAGACAGGGGAGAGAGCCCTGTATGGAGCCAAAGAAGGCGGCTGTGGCCTGCCTCCCTCACGCTCTTGTTGTGTTTGTGTAAGGTGAGATTTTCAGATACCATGTCTGTTTCTAGACCACAAAGATCTATATTCATCCAGTCATCTCCCACTTGGTTCACTTTGAATTACAGCAGGGAGGGAAAGCACTGGGGATTTGCATGAAGGCATCTGAGAAATTGAACCGGAATGCCTTTGTTTGCAGGTATAATGTTGGGAAGAATGGGGAACAGTGGCGTTCCTTTGGTCAGCTTTTGCCAGTGTTTAAATGAATCTGTCATGAAGATAGTGGCAGTTGCTGTTTGGTAAGTAACTGTTTTAGTAAGAAAATGAGTATTTTTTTAAAAGAGTAAGAAGATTTCAACAGAAGAGGATGCACAGAAATGTCATAAACTTATTTCCAGGGAAATAAATGAGGGTGAGCAATCCTTAGCTTTGTGGGGCCTCAGCATTTGAAGGAAGACACATATACACACATCCCGTCCCTGGCTTGTACTGCCATTTTGACAGAGGCACCCTATATATTACTCCCAAAACATGGTATATCTGGGTGGATGTGTGCTGTATGCACTAGGAGCACTGCCAATCTTCAGACAGGCCAAAAGGGATTATAATACATCCAGCCCACACAAGGGAGGAGCATGATGAGATCCTCGAGCTGATACTTCCACCTGTTACAGTACTGCTCAACTAGAAATACTAGCCTGGCTTCAGCTTACTCAGGAGAGGGCTGAGCTCTTGTGCTGATGTGACTGTACTGTCATTAGCGTGGTTGCTGCTAGCTTGGCTACCTTTGCACTGTGGAGATGATGTACCCAGAGCGCTTGGCCCTCGGGATGTCTCCAAGTGAATAAAATAGCCCTCAATGAACCATCCTAGGCCATGTCACTTAGGAAAAGCCTTCAGAATAATCCTAAATTACACTGAGAGCCAGCTAGACCTGCCAACCCACCTGCCCCAAAGATCAGAGGAAGAGGAGGTGACTGCCAACAACAAAAACTATCAGCGCAGCATCTTCCCCACCCTTCCAAAGGTCCCCCAATGTGGTTCAGCCTGATGTGGGGTGATCCCACTACCAGCACTCAGCTTTTGTTTCCAGCTACCTGGTCCAGTCTGAGTGAGCTGGGTCAGGGAGTGATCGCTTGGTTAGATGGGTCCAAGGGGGTAGTAATTTCTCGAAGGATGAGGGGGAAGTGGCAAGTCTCTGGAGATGGCACAGCTGCCAGTGGAAGATGGCTGGATACCCCCAGATTTTCTTTCTTTTTTTTTTCTAGTCTTAAGCTCTTTCGGCACCCATGGCTTTGTGTCTAGCCATGCACAGAAGCACAACACTTTTGGTAAAGCACCTATCCCACATCCAGTCCAGAGGGGGTTCAGAAACTAACTATTCTTCTGCCTATCTATCTGCCCTGAATCAAACTCCCAGGCAGTCCAAAAGCATGTTGAATGCATATTTGTATTTCTCCTATGTCTTCCAAAGGCAACATAAACATTTACTTAACAGCATCCAACTAAAATCCATGAACAGTCACACAAGCAGAAGCACATAAGCAGAGCTTAGGATTCATTCTCCATTTCCCCAGGAAATTACTTGCCTTAAGCTAAAAATTCAGAGGTGCCTTCTGAACCAAAACATTTTAAAGTCATTCCTGACCAGTACCATAACCTCAGCTGTGCTGAGGAGTACCCAGCATAAAAGAGTGTTTAGCCCAGTGCTTTGGGCACACTCCTCAAGTGTGAGAGAGAGGAGCTTAGTCTGATAAAACCCAGCTGTGCGACTTCCAGACAGGTGCTGTTACTCCGCTGCTACTGGAAGTACGAGGCTTTCCCATCTCATACTGTTTGATAGAAGTGAGCTATCTCCTAATAATGCCTGTCTTTCTTTTTTGCTCAGGTATTTTCCATTTGGAATTGTTTTCCTAATTGCTGGTAAAATCTTAGAAATGGATGACCCTTCAGCCATTGGGAAGAAACTGGGTTTCTATGCCATTACGGTGGTTTGCGGCCTAGTGGTGCATGGGCTGTTTATTCTGCCAATGATGTACTTCTTTATCACCAAGAAGAATCCCATTGTCTTCATCAGAGGGATTCTTCAAGCCTTGCTCATTGCTCTGGCCACGTCCTCCAGGTATTACACAGTTTCTAAACAGATGTAACAAAATACTTGCTAGATCCTTACTCCAGCTTTCTCTTGGGAACAGGACACTATAGCTGTACTGGAGCAGATGTATTTGTATCTGAACAATGGCCTGTGTCAAATTCACTGGTATATTTGTAAAAGATGTGTCTCTCAACATTTGGAAGTTATGTGTGGGAGCCTTTTGACAATAATGTTTTCCCTCAGTTTAAAAAATATTGGACAAAAATGTTTGTTTCTTAGAGGACTAGAAAGGAAAGAAGGGTATTTTTCCATAAAATCAAACATTGTGCTACTACAAAGTTAATATATATAAGGGACACACAGTTTGTCCAGACTTCATTTTTGATATTAGGGGAGAACCTCCTAGTTCACTCATATGGAAATGTTTTAACATTTCTACTCATCTTAGTCTTTGTTTCTTGGTACATTAAGAAAAGACTGTGGTTGCAAGCTATTGTCCAGTACTGGGAAAGTATTTAGCTGTTCTGCTCAAGCAATAATATATTTTACATCCTTTTTAGGGAGGATGTACAATGAGTTTTAACCATAGCTGAACAAAGGTACAGTGAAAATGGGAAACAGCTTGTGAACTGGTTATGAAAATGACACCCAACATGGATAAACTAGTGTATGAGAAGTGCTTGAAAGGGCTGGAATTAACTTGCATGGAGTGGAGACAAGAACAACAACTAAAATAACATTTCCCTGTAGCCAGTATAATGAAAACACAGTTTCATGGCATCTGTGTCTGGAGGCTTGTTACTCTGAAGTAACAAGAGCAGCTATACCTACCACTTTTTATGCAGTAATAAAAGCCACAGTACAAGCAGAAAATGTCAGGTAAATAGGTCTCTTTAGCACATCTTACATATTTATTATTTATTATACTAAATTCTTATCTAGATTTTGAAATTGTGACAGCTCGTGACAAACACCTATCTTCATCTACCTAATTTAGACTTCAGATTACCAATTAGTACAAAATCAATGCTAAATTGGGAACATCTGTTTATAAAGAAACATAATGAAAAATTAAAAGGTTTTATTAACCCCCAAATATTTACTCTAATTAACAATAATGACTGAAGAATACTTCATCTAGTTATACTTAAATACTGATTCCTTCTTCCATCTTATAATAATTTCTATAATAAATTGAGCTCTGATGACTAATACATCCTTTCAGGCAATATTATTGTATCAGTTTCTTATCCCTTGTGCCTGTAATCTTACTTTTCTCCATAACTTCCCAAGCCCCTTGAGGAAGAATTCATGTAATCTCTCCTACAATGGAGTGACCCACTTAGAAATAAAGTGCATTTATAATTAGTGGGATTACAGAAGGAAAAGGCAGGAATGACATATAGATAAAAAGTTCTGGAAAAGTAGTCAAACAAATACTGATTTAAATAACTTCTTTTTAATAGTCTAATAAGGGCCATCAAGTAATCAGTACATATCGCTTTCCATAGGGCATCATCACTGATAAAAAATTATGTGAGTTTTGCAGAAATATGGAACTCTTCTGCGAATAATCTAAGTAAATAAGTACATGGACAAGTAACAATGTAACTTCTGTGAACTCAGATTAGTTGATGTCATTCATTTTTGCTATAATCTTCTGCAAAACTTATTTTTGTTACAAAACATTACTTTGCCATGTAGTAATTACCGTCAATGCTAAAAGAGAAATAATCTCTGTTTTACTGAAGGGACAATGAAAAAGAGAAAACCGACGTTGTACTAGACCTGTGCCAGACTTGTGAAAAGAGCCCCAAACTTTTATCCCCAGCCCGTTGGCCTTATTGGGCTCATTAGAGTTCTAGCGAGGTCCAACAAGATAATTTGGGACAGGAAGGTCAGATGCAGATGGCTCTTTCTCTCATGAATATATATATACAGTGGTTAGGGCAGGAGTAAGCAGAGCAGAAGGAATGTATAAGAATTAAAAGAAAGGAGAGAAGGGAATGATTATTTCAGCACAGTTGGAAGGTGCTGGCTTTCCACTATATTTCATTTTACAAGGTGTTTTCATATATAACAGTTTGCTCCAAAATGACCTATAAAGAGCAACATACTGTGAAATACAAAGTCAAGAAAAAAATTATGTGCTGGGTGGTGTTTTAAACTCTAATTAGGCTTAAATAATTACGGCAATCTTTTTTATTAGAACATAAAAAGTTTGTAGCTGGAGATGTCATCACATCCCCAGATTCAAGTAAGATGCTAATTTTTCACTCAAAGATGTTAGTGTTGGAAAAGGCTCGTCAGGTTCACATTTGACACACTGGACTACCTGCCCTTGTCCTCTAAGAATTCTGTTTCTGAAGAACGCTATTGCTGACAACTCAGGTTTTTTAATCTGTGCCATTCCATTAAGTCTCTTTTTTCTAGAAAAAGATAATTTTTCTTAAAAATCTAGTCAGAATTTTTTCTTTTTTTAGGGAAAAAAAGAGAAAATTTTGTTCCTTGTTTTACCTGTAGCATCTAGAGAAGAGTTTGTCCTTTTCTTTTGTGTTAATAAGCAACAAAAATAACCATCTTTTTCACCAGTATAGATCCGTTTATCAAGGGAGGTTTAATCACAACTTAAAAGATCAGCACATATCCACCATTTTCAAAAACAGATTACTTTTCTTAATTTTCCCTATTTTGCATTAGCACTGCATTTTGATTTTATAACCAATTTACTAGTCCTTTACTGGCCTGGAAACTTGCAGTGCTTGTGCTTGTTTCTTCATTGGATCTCATCTTCTTACTCTGTCCCTAGCTCTGAGAGTATCAAGCCACTTTACAATTATGAAGGGCCCTCTTTGCAGTTCATAACACATTCGGGCCCAGGTTGCTTGTGCTATATTTCGAGGTTAGAAATGTTCCAATGCCAATGTCATCAATCATAGTAATAAAACAAAAAGTCAGACATGATATGTAGTAACCAAAATACACAACGGGATATACAAAGGTATGCAGGCATTTTGATTCCCCTGTTTTACACGAGTGCCTAAGTTATATTACTCCTTGGAGAAAGTCCAACAATGGTTGGTTTGAGAATTTTTAGGTCAGGGTTTTTTTTTTTTCTCAATTACTTGTAGAAGTATAAGGAAAGAACATACACACTCTCTAGCAAATGTGAGCTAGCTCTCTTAAAAGATCTGCATATCACAGTGATCATCATTGCAAAGCTTAACTTTTAGGCAACTTTCAACCACATAAGATGCCTGTGGTTCATCTAGGAGCTAAGCTCCTCGTGGGGAGAGTTGGGCTCCTAGGAAAAAGCCCCAAAAGCCAGCGTGGTAAGGAGAGCTAGGCAGGCATCAGGCCTAGCTATAAAGCAAAAATGTCAACCTATAGAACTGGTGAGAGAGAGGTGTCTCTCTCTGCTGAGTCTCTCCAAGGTAAACCACTGCTTACTCAAGGTTTTCTCCAGCCCCATTTCCTTACCCCAAGCTGATATGAGAGTGCCTGCTGACAGTGGGGGATAGATGGGGAATTCAGCTTTCCCTTAAACCTGTGCTGACTTTGACTCTGGAGCTCTGACTCCCAGGAGAGAGCCCCTCTCCTGAGGATATCAAGTGCTTTGAGATAGCACTCTCTCCCCTTCCACTGTGCAAGGAATAATTCCATATTTATGGGCTCAGAGAGGGTGTAGTTCAGGAACAGAGCTCTGGTGCCAGCAGGCAGCTCAGCCTGTCAAGAATCACCAGCACAACTTGCTACCAGAAGAGATTGAGTATCTTTGTTGTCAGAAGCTAATGTACCACCAAAGTTATGGTGAGTCCTGAGGAAAGGCTCTGAACTTCTGGATTTGGGTCTTGGACACATTTGATGGATTTAGCTCTGTTTGCCCCTTCTTACCAGTGTGTATATTTCGCAAATCCAACACAGGCCCAGCATGTTTTTTAATGTTCTTCTGCTCAAATAGTAGTGCCTTGTCTAGAGATAGCTGAACTTTTCACCTTCATTACACTGAAAGGAATGGATACTGCACATAACTGAGCTGTTGCCAAAAGAACATGCACAAATAATTGGGGCTGGACAGGAGAGCTGCTTCTCCTGACAGTCAACACATCTGTATTTGGTTAAATAATACTTGCCACAGGGGCATTATATAACACTCATAATGTGGGTATTGGATTTTCAGATCATCTTAGAGAACAAAGAGTTGGTTTTAAGCGTACTGATGTGTTTCTTGCAGATGTTTCTGTGTCAGTTCATGTCTACATCTAAAGATAGAAAGAAAACCACAGATCAGTGTCCTGATATTCATTCCAGCTAGTCTGCACCTGTGAAAAGCTTTCTTTTTAAGCTAAAAGTCAAACTGCAAGAATCAGAAACAATACCATGTACAAAACCCGAGAATGTAATACAAGGGGACCTGAAAGCCCCTGAATAGCTGTCTCATGACAATAATTTTATTGAATTGGAACATTATTTCAACCCATTTCCCTTTAGTGAAAGGTTCTACACCCCATTCTCAATCCCCTTATATTTCTCCAGAAATCCCAATCACAGCAATATTTTGGTTTGCACAGACATTACTGGAGAGGCAGGGACAGAGAAGGAGATCTCTTATTCCTTTGGTGCATCATTTGGGACACAATGAACTCGATCCCTATGACTAGCACCAAGTCCCTGCACCAGTCACCTGGCCGGCCAGCCCCTGAAGTCAAACCCTTGGTCCCAGTACAGGCTGGCTTTGGCAACAGGCACCCATAGCGATGTACACAGCTCCTCTTTACTACATCAGTAAGGTGTGTACAGCACGTGCTGTCATAGCCCACCTTGCCCTGCTCTGTGGCGTTCAGGCTGCATAACTGTGGATTTCTGACTTGCTGCTTTCTTCCCCCCACATTGCCCCTGATCTTCTCACCTCTTAATGTATTGAAAAAGCAGTGTTTGGCCTACAGGCAAAATTCCTGTTGATTTTAGCTTTCCTCATTCCAATGGCATGAGGGAATTTTGTTTTTCTAGGTCATCTTTCCATATCGTTAATGAATTAAAGCAGCATCTTCTCAGTGGTACATCCCATCAAAAGAAGTAATTTTCATCTTCTCTGAAGACAAATGATAAAACATGAGTGTTTCAAGGGTTTTGCTGCTTATGAAACACTAAGATCTTGGCTATTGCACAGTGTAAATTAAAGGCAGATTTAGCAAAAGGGAGATGAGATCAGTTTGTTGATTTTTTGGAGCAAATATCAAAATGCATTTGAATGATAAGATAAACGGAGCAGGCTGAACAGCTGTTCTTCCACAGTGACTAGCTGTCTTTGTGGCTCACACTAGCAAGAGCTTGGCCTGATCCAGCATTAGCTTATGCTCAGTCTCCAGCTGCAGCATTTTATCCCAAAATTGAGATAAGACACTAAATATGTATTTTTAATTGTTAGAGTTAGTGCTGGGAGAAGGTACCTCTCAGCTGAAAGCTTTAGGACAGTTTTTAAAAGACTTAACAGATTAAGATCAGTGCTTTAGAGCATTTTTTCCTCCTAATAGATGTTACATGTCAGGCTTTCATGTTACTGCTCCACTGTTTAACACTAGATAAAGCAGCTTTCAAGAAAACAAATGTCACCTAATTTAACTGGAAAGACAAATTGAAGTATTTATTTGAGAATGTTTTTTCTTCAGCCATTGAAATTATATATTACTATAACTCAAAAATGACAGTAGGAACTTTTTTTTTTCCGCTTGCCACTTGTAAGTCACCAACAGCCAAAGCCTTAGAGAAGACAGGCATTTTCTGATATGTGCCAGATGATACATTATGAGTAAAAATGAACCATCATTGAACAAGACAACCTCTCCTGGGATACTCCACATAACTTTGTCACCTGTATTCAGGAAAAGTTCATTCAGATTGAAACAGGTGCTGAAAGGGTAATCAGGGATGTAAAGCAGCAATCTTGTAAGAGAACTTTAAAAATTTTGATTGGGTCAATCCAGGCTGAGAGGGGACAGAACTGCTTTCTAACAATATGTGTTGTAACAGCTGGACTGCTTTGTGCAAGGAGAAATGCATAAAGCACATAAAAGCAAATTTAGTGTAAATTGAAAAGAATACATCTAGATCACAAATTAAATTTCTCATCTGAACAGTGAATTCTGGAAAGCCTTTCAATAGAAATAGTTAGGACAGACAGTCTACTAGCTCTAAGATGCTGTGTATTAAATTTGACTGAGACCGTATGTAGTAGTTGCCTGTGCTAGCAAGGTACAAGGATCTGTGACCTGGAAATTTGCTTCCTTTCAGTATCTTGCACAATGTTTTTCATCATCATTGCGCTTACCTTCTGCCCATTTTCTTTTTTATTGTAATATTTAATAAACAACAAAACCAATGTCTTGTTATGTGCTCTAGAAATTTTACTTCTAACAGTACAAAATTAAAATTAAAGAAGCACCTGACTCTCTGTGAGATAACGCACAAGTTTAAAAGTTGAGTTCTTGCAAAAACAGTGTCATACATTCCGTTTACAGCAGTGGGAATAGATACAGATTTTGCTGGTTGTGCCATTGGTATTATGGGATTGTTTTTCACAATCTTTGTCACATCTCAAGCAGATTGGAAGGTGTCAGTCAGTTAAAATTTGCACATTTCACAGCTCAGCTCTCTGCCCTCAGAACAGGAAGGCATTTAGGTTTAAAATACTGGTATGTCAAAGTGTGGGCAAGGTGGAAAAGGACTTGTAAGTCTACCTTTTTCTCCTCTTTTTCCTCCAAAGAAATTAGATAGGGTTTTGTTACAGAAAAGCCAAATGGCTGAGGAAAGATGGTCTTTAAAAACAAGTAACTCTCCACAACTGAAGTAGCTGCAGGGAAGGGATGCAATGAATAGTAAGTTTAGTAATTTCTTCCTGGCCATGCCTATAGTTAAGAACATCTAGAAGTGTTACTGTGGCAGTCTGCTCCTAGTTAGGGCTACACCAGGGGGTTCAGTTCTGCATTATCTGTGAGCCCCAGCCTCACCCTTTTATTATATGAACATTTAATGGTAAACAAGACAGAGAATTTCAGTCATCCACAAATGAATGTGTGAAAAATGATAGGCATGCCCAAGAGAGAAATTACTTCTAATGTGTAGTTTGGGGGGTTATGCTTTGCTGTGTTTTTCAAAGTAAATCTTGATTAAATATTAGGACTGCCAGTTTGAAAAAGTTGAATATACCGCAGTTATCAGAGGTAATCAGATTTCTATTGCTTCCTTGACCTTTCAGTTTATTTGCATACTTAGAGAATTACTTTTGTCCAGATTTTCATGGCAGTGACTGCCAGTCTATAGCAAACCATTCACCAGTCAGACTGTATAAAGCTATAGACAACAGATATATTGTAATGAATTCATAGACTTGTCTTGTTCCTTGTGTTTCTATTGCAGGAAGCTACTTTTCCTTTCCAAACGCTGTTACTTTCCTCAAACAACAGCTTGCACAAATACAAAATGACAACTCCTACTCATGGAAACATTTTGCTAATGCATTCATGCAAACTTGGGGTTATGATTTCAGAGCTTTCAAAATCTCTTTGTGATTTTGTAGGTCACATGTAACGACTGAGAAAGAATTTGTAGATTAAATGTGTTATCCTCTGTTAGGAACAAATAATGGTCATTATATGATTTAGATATCAGAGCCACATTGCTGATATGAGGCTCACAACACACAGCGACTGAACAATCTGAATTGTCCAAACTAGGGGAAAGATGCCTATTTTTCATGACTCGGGGCATGTAGATCACAAGAGAACAGAATATTAAAGACCTTAGTATTGTAATACCAATATTTCCCCTATAATTACTTATCTCTTTGAAGAGGTAACTTTGGAATAATTTTGAAGGAGTTTGCTATTTTACATCTACTTAAATAGTCTCAGATACTGAGCATTATATTAAAATGAGTACCATAACAAGGAAAATATTTTGCCATTTATGTATTTTCTTCAATGATATTACTTATTTTCTGTACAAACTGACATGCCTTAAAAAATACCCCCTCACTCGCTTGAATGCAGTTTAATTACTCATGACATATTAGTGAATGTGACACTGTATGGTAAAATGCAGAATGTTACAAAAAAGCTGATAAACAATAGAGACAAACATGTTTAGGTGTGTTACTATTTAAAAATGAATATTTTATTAAAATCTTATTGAAAATGAGGACATTTTTGACCAGATAATATTTAATTAATTGTCTCAGTTAATGAAAACAAAAATCAGATTTTTTTTAGAGAGTTTGAAATCAAGGGTTAAAGTTTGGAAGGGGTCAAGCTCATGTTAAAATTAATACCTGTCAGACAGTCTTATGCCATTCCACTCTGTTCCATACCATTCCACACACTTACATATTTATATGTCATTCACATATGTACACATTATTATATGACCTGCAACAATGTGATTGTTATACGATCACACCACAGACACGGGCAGATCGGTCCTAGAGGGGAAATGGGATTGTATGTTCCTGAATACAGGAGCTTGGTCTGTAGCTATTATTTTCAGGCATGCTGTTGATAAGACCTTTGCCTAACCCCTTACAGAAATAAGAAATTGCTTACGCATGAGGTAGGATGTTACTGCATTAATGCATTCTGTGGCAAAAGAAGGAGTAGTTTTTTGGTCAGAGCTGTTGCCCACTGGGATGTTTCAGAGTTTAACCCAAGCAGCATTCCAATCTCTTGTAAGCTTTCACTACCATTATAATTCATTGCCTAAACTGGTCATCTAATTATTGTCAATATGCAGTGACAACTGGAACAATGCCTAAGGGCATTTATATAGCATTTCCTTACAGTGAGTTAAGAGTCTTTCTTGCTTTATACTTTTCATTGGTTTATGGTTACTCTTGCTGTTTAAAAATTGCTTTCTATTTCAGAAGGCTTGGAAGGAGACTTTTTTAGAAACCATGAGTGCACAACAGTTTTCAGAGATTTACTAATAAGCTGCACAGCGTGTTTCATTTGAGTGTACAATACTGCCTCTGTGGGATTTCTGTCCCTTTTCTGAAGAAAGAGGGAAAGAGAGAATGACATTTTAAATTTGGGAGAAGCAAAATTTGCACTAACTCTAGCATTTATACATGTAACTGTCTTTATCCCCCTCAAGCAAAGGAGTGAGTTACATCTGCATACCAAAGAATGAGAAGCAGTGCTCACATGGTTCGTGTAAAATTTACCCTGCCTGGAGAAGGTTTGTTACAATTCATTCTATTCGCCAGAAATAAAAATAATTCAATGTGTGCTTCTCTCCGCTGTTTTGCAGCTCGGCCACCCTGCCTATCACTTTCAAGTGCTTGTTGGAGAACAACCATGTGGACAGGAGGATTGCAAGGTTTGTGCTGCCTGTGGGAGCCACCATCAACATGGATGGGACAGCACTCTATGAGGCGGTGGCTGCCATCTTTATTGCGCAAGTAAACAACTATGAGCTGGACTTTGGGCAGATAATCACTATAAGGTATAAACTTCAAATTCTACATGCTGCGGTTTGCTTGTCTTGTTGAGTCTGACACTGTTACAATTCTTGTATGTAGCAATGTTCAGAACTACACTCACCTTTGCTATTATCAAAGAAGCCATTCCTCAGAGAATGGTTATCTTTAAGTAATGCAGAGATCAGGGACCGTACAAAGGGAAATTGTACTGGTACCATTCAATAGAAGCATGTGGACACCAGGAAGTGCGTTTCTGTTTGAGGGTGTCTAATTTTTACTTTTAGGCAACCCATTGATCTTTTACTAAGGTTGGAACATTTTACTATTATGATTAATGTTTAATATCTATTTTAAATGTCAGAATTGTTTTCAAATTTAACTCTGGTTTGCATCTTTATATGAGAAGAAAAGGTTAAAAAACCAGCAAAACACAAACACAAAAGGTATTATAGCAGATAACAGGGAATACTGTGTGCTAGGAAGCTCTTTGGCAAACCTTGGAGGAGTAGGGGAACAGGGAAGGATGACAGATGCTACTATCAGGGCAGGTTTTCATGAAGATGTCCTATCACTCACATATTTTTCAAATGTCTTCTCTGCTGCTTGTTAAAGCAGAAAACTTCATAAACAACCATGCTCTCAGTGGGTAGAGAGTGCTATAGCTGCATGCTCCATCCTTGAAAGGTCTGTAATGGATCCAAAAGACTAGAAGATCCAACTGAAAAATTACTGCCAGAATAACTCCAGTGGCTGCCAAAGAATGCCTCAGGGACTGAAACCTGCAGGTTTCCAGCAGGGAATAAATGATTAGAAAAACATTCCTCATAGTCAGAGCCTTGTGCAACATATTTGAGATCTGCTTATCTACCCACCCAGTGACCTCATCACTGCCCCGTTACGCTGCTGGGCCTTGTCCATCTTCTGCTGGACTTGAAAATCTCCATGACAAGAGGAGGACAGTCCTGAAACTAACCCCAGTTGACAGCTGAGGTCTGCTAATGGGTTTCTGGCAAGATCTGGTTAGACTAGAAGCAGAAGAAATAAATTGCACCCATACAAGCTCTTGCTTCAGGCTTGCTCTCTCTCTGAAAATTGTTGGAATAACCTTGTGCTAAAATTTAGTCTTTGGTGATTTTGAATTTGGAGATGTTTTTAGAATGTGGTTCCAAAATATGGCCCAGAGCATGGGCAGGCATTACATACACCTTGAAGTAGAGAATGGTGACTTGAAAAATGAAGGAGAAGGAGAGTGATAGTAAATAGAAAGAAGTTCTAACTTTCTCTTAGCAGAACCCTATTTTATCTCTTTATTTTCACTCCCCGTATTAAGTGCTAGAACATAAAGGATCAGAAAGAAGTAAAGACAGTAGAAGGAAAATATAAATGAAAATTGGAAAAATCCCAGAAAGGAAAAGAAGTAAAAAGACTGACTTACAAAAGAAGGGGGTAAATAGGAAATCACAGTGAATTCAGTACCTTGAGTATCTGAAGCCAAATTTTAACTGTATTCTATGGGCCAAACCTGCCCCAGATCTCGATACTTTAGGATCTGGAGATTTGAAATTCAAATATTCCTGAGTGCCAGGATATTTTTGCAAGAGGAGAAAAATGTTAGAAAAATTATCAGTCTACTTTGCTCATAATCTGTAAAATCCAGGTTGACAATTTATGTCAATGTGATTACAGTCTTAGTTAAACATTCCTATTTTTGCTCCCAATTAAGTAATGAGACTTTATGGCCTGAACTGTCTTAGGAGGCAGAAACAGTCCTAATCAGCTAGCCAGTTTATAGTACTGATTGGAGCATCTGTTAATGTTCATTATATTTATCTCTTACTCAGCATCTGAGCTTCTGTCCCTTCCTTTCCATCTATACTCTGCCTATTACAACACTATTAGGATGCTGTACAAGCTAATTCTTTCAAAATGTAGTTTTAAATCTTTCTCATTCCCCATCACACCCACATGCAAATGTATTTTTTTTATTGCAGGAAAGGGCTCTAGTTATAAATACTGATGCTGCTCTACTGGTACACTGTACAGCTGTGAGCAAGATACTGGATATCTCTGTGTCTCAGTTTCCAAATGGGTGAATACTGTTACCCTCCTTTTCCATCAGAGGAGGTTGATGAGACTTTACTTGCTTGCCAAAAGCTCTGAAATTCTGGATTGATGAATGCAGTGGATTATCAGCGTATATGCTTTATGTCATCCTTTTACAATTGTCAACATTCATTTTTTGTCTTTCTGCTGGATGGCCTAGCTCTTGGAAGTGGTCAGATGGGCGGAAACAAATATATCCAGTCACTTTTGCTCCTGGAAACAGGAATGAAATCCCTCCCCTAAAAATAGCATTATGAAAAAAACGTTAAGCCTGCCAGGTCCACTCTTGCCCTGGTCTCCCATTCATTTCTGCTTGCCTGGCTGAAAAAAGGGTGTGAAGGTCAAGTAAAAATACTTTCCAGAAACTGAAGAGGTACAGTCACATTCACGCCTGCTTCATATTTAGATCCAAGTATGCAAAGGCATGTGCTATGCAAGGACTTCACCCTTGGCCCAGCCTCTTTACCCTTGGTCTAGCCTCTTTGTGACGGATTGACATTAAAGGCCCTAGCCGCAGCCAGCTGCGGATTTGCCTGGCACAGGAGCTGCCGGTGATGACTCAGGGATGTCTGCTGGGAGCTCTGCTGCCAAGGGTGAAGCAGCGATGAAGAGTGCTGGCAGATTCGTGGCACACAGCGCTGCGTGGTGCCATGAACAATGCGAAGCTGGCATAACTCAAAGCAGCCCACAGCCTGGCTGTCCCCATTTCTCTGAACTTGGGATATTAGGAGATAACAGAACTGCCCCACCAGCGCCAAGGCTGCAAAGGTAGAAGGTGAGAATTTAGCACTGGGCAGACAGTTTGGCTTGTTCTTGCCCTCTGACCTGGCTTCTGTCCACAAAACACTGGCAATTCTGTGCAGTGGCTTGTGTAAGAAGGATTATGGGTTAGGAAAGCTTCTGTAGAAACATGGTGTGGCTTCTGGCAGAGCAACCTAGCACCAGTAAAGCTTATTCCTTTCTTTCTTTGTTAAAGTATCACAGCAACAGCTGCAAGCATAGGTGCTGCAGGTATCCCACAAGCTGGCCTGGTGACAATGGTCATTGTTCTGACCTCGGTTGGGCTCCCAACAGATGACATCACATTGATTATTGCTGTCGACTGGGCACTGTAAGTAACATTAAGCTTTTGAGGTTTCCAATGTGGCAACATTGCCAAAAAGGCAAATGGTCTCCAGGGGTATAGCAAGACAAATATACATAAAAGGCATGGGAAGTAATTCTTTTGCTTGAAATGGTGCTAATGTGGCCTCAGATTAAATACTCTGCTGACGTGGGCATTATATTGAAAAAAGACATAGACAAATGAGAGAGAGTCTAGATGAGACTTGGACAATATGACCTACATGGAAAGGCTGAAGAAGTGGAGTTCATTTAGCCTGAAACCAGAGCAGGCTGAAAGAGGTCACCACAGCAGTTTTTATTATGATAAGATTGTCCTGAAGAGGACAGTGGTCAATTGGTTCTTCTCATTCACAGGGAGGGAGGGAGGATGAAGAAGTAGACCAAAGTAACTACCTTAAGTCAGATCACAGGAAAACTTAAGAATGATTTTTATCTAGAAGGATAGTCAGGCAGTGGAAACGGCTGCACCTAGCCGGGTTGGAGGATGACCTTCATGAGAAGTGTTAAGGTCAGGCCAGACAAATGTCTGTCAGGTGCTTCTGGCACCTTGTCTTGGACAAGGACAAGGGGCCAACATTCCTAGGAAGCATGGTTTGCCTGCACTCTGCTTATCAGCCCACTGACACTTCAAGAACATCATCTCAATGTAATGAAGCACTCTGCAAAGAGGCATGAGCCAGTGCTAAAGCAGGCAAGTACTCCTGCACCACAGATACCACTCTGCCTGAAATAGCCATGACAGTACAGTAATGGTTTGTGCTGTATATACCTACTACTACTGTAACTAGAACCACGATATAGTCAACCTGAATGTAATACTTGCAATGCATGGCATTAGGACAAATAACGTCTTTCTTTTATCACAGATCCTGATGCAATTCTGTGCTTTCTCATTTCAGTGCTAAATAGGCAGCAGCAGTTTGTAGCCTCCTGCGTGGAGCTATGTTTTGCAAGCACAGCCATTCCCTAGAGACTTTGCTGCATCCCTAATCACTGAGGATTTAACGGCAGGGGCTAAAACTTAACACGCTTAGAATAAAAGAGATTCGTGCCACCCATGAGAAGAGCCACTTTAAAAACTCATAAGGAGCGGTTTATTTGAACTCTTAACTTTTATGTAAATGTCCACAAACATTTGTCCATCAACCAAACAATTTTGAATAGTCTAGGAAGATGAATCGTAAAATACTGGTCCCTAGCTCACTAGCATTTCAATTAACTACATAACTAGCATATGCATCCACAAGGATGGTGTATAAAATATATCTCCATTAACGCAGTGGAGTTTCATTACATCAAGGTTCTGGGTAAAAATGTGTTACAAGTCCATTCTGTTATATATCCTATTCTATTCAACTTTAAGCCACTGATTTTTTGTACAAAGAATTGTGAGAATAAATTTTTTACTTTCCTGTTCAGTGTAATAGAATATAATTATTATTAAAAGGAGTCATGAGTGTTGCGTTGTATGCATATTTTAAGACATATTTTATTTTGGGAATATCGGGAATATACTTCTGTGAAAAATAAATAATATCTGCTGTGGGCATCTAAACTTGGGAATGGCAGTTCAGATTTTAGTAAAGCAGCCATTCTAATGCTAGTTACTGAAGCTCAATAGTTAATGAAGCACAACAAAATCAAAGTATTTTAAGCTGTATTACAAAAGCCTTTTCCCTCTATATTGCTCAGTTTTCGCCCAGCTCTTGCAACATCAACATTTCATTGTTTTTCCAGGAAGTCTTCCAGTGTATATGGAAATTATGCTTCTTTTTGTCTTACAAAACCTTTCAAACAACAGACAAAAAACTTTTTCAGGCTATAGTTCCAGATGGCATTAAAAAGTGAGCAGGAACAGACCCAATTTTCTGTCTTTTGCAGATGACCTTTCATACAAAAAGTATATTTCTGTATTTCGGCACTTGGTGGTTTCAAGAGCCTGCAGATGTAAAGTGTCAACATGGTTGACATGATGAATATTTTCAATATTAGTTTTGGAAGTACTGGAGTGTGAAGAATGCTTAAAGAAGGCTGATTAGATGATCTCACGAGACTGAAATACCCATTACAATGCACTGCAGGTATTACAACTCATTTAGGTAGCCATAACATGTATATGAACTTTAGCTAGTGCCTAGAGACATAAAGAAGAAAATAAAAATGTTTCTCAGCTGATTTATTAAACACAAGGTAAAAATTTTGCATCTTTAATTTTGCATCTTTAATAATATAATCTAAAGCTAAAATACCACTGCAGCACCTGACTCGCGTTTGCACTGAAAGAAATGCCACTAGCAGCACGTTGGCCTCTTAGTGGAGAAATGTCAGTGATGTGCAGTGTTGTTCTACTTGTGTAGTGCAGACTACTCTGTACACACAGAAACATGGAATAGAACTGGTCAAACAATGTGCCAGGCAATAAATTTTCTTCAGAGTTTCAGTATGGTGCACTGTTTCCTCAGAAACATTCTGTCTTCAGAAGAGATGCTAATCAAAGCCCAAAAGGGAGTGCAAACTCCTCAGCTCTGCTCACACAGCTTCTTCTCTACCACAGCTGACTCATTGTAAAATCCAAAATTAACAACTCAGAATATCTTTCTAAGAGTCAAAATTTGGTGATCAACCAAGGGAAAAAAAAAAGTCTACATGTAACAGGAGCATCTATCAATATGTGCTGTAACAGTATTTTTTCCTGCTTAACATATTCTTGTGGGAATTTTCCTCAAGGCAAAACCCAAAACCAGAACAGCAGGCATTACAAAAATGGATTCAGCAAACAAGTGTAGGACTGGGTGCTGGAGTCAACAGCCACATCCAGGTGTAGGCTGTGGAATATTACTGCTGAAGTTACTTGCAATTGCATATACAATTTGGGTAACCACACACACAACCTTTCATGCAGGAACTTTCATGCTAATTAGGCAAGCAACTGCAAAAACATTTGCATACACAGAGTACATGCCTAGAAGATCTGAAAAAAAATCAGCACAGTTTCAATTATTTTTTATATTAAGATACAGGATCAGAAATCTGGGCAGTGTTGATACTGGACCGTCACTGATTTTAGTAAGCCAAACATCTGGAGATTTCTGAACCTCTGCTTTATAACCCACATTTATAAATTAAGTTACCAATATGACACAGTTTTCAGATGTGTATGTATTTCTTGGAAAAGACATTATATATTTCAGACGTAAAAGCTATATCGTCTATTTGAAATCTCATCAATTTTAACTAATAGATTCCAAGCTGTTTCAAGTGTAACACTTGTCTATGACAACCACTTACTTTAGTGTATTTTCATTCTGTATTTTAACAGATTTCCTTTTTAGACGGGGGTAGAAGGTATAAACAGGAAAGAAATTATTCCATAAATAAATAAATAAATGAAAAATTGTAAAACTGTATATATAGAAAATACTGTCAAGCATACAAATTTAAATTGGAAAAGATGATAACTGAAAATTAAGAATCTTTAAGAGCCACTGGTAGCCATAGCAACCATAGCTTTTTCAGAAATGAACATGATTTAAATATGGTCAGTGCCTGCTTAGTCTGTGAGTGTAGTTATTTAGCAATTTTCTGAGTAATTTTGATTGTGTTCTGCATATTCTACCAATACAATAATCTTAACTAGCACTTTGGTTGCTGAGATTGAGACCTTGATAACTAATACAAGGTACTGCTTGTACTGGCTGCCCTCTACTTTTATTGAATTAAGACATTTGCAGCACCAGCCTCCAAACCAGGCCATAATACTGGACCTTAACATAAAAACTCAGACATAAATGCAGTCTTGATCTGCTGTGTTAAACCTTTTTAGTGTTGAATCAGCTTGCATGTATAGGCAATATAGCTCTAGAGGCATAGCTGCTCTAGTTAGCTCAGTTACAAATTAAAGTATGTGGCAGCACAGAGCACTGAGCTCTGAAAAGGCTGGAAAACCCAACTGAGCAGCTCAGTAACTAGTGACTGCCCTGTGCCAGACTACTTACTACCATTTCTAAACTTGCTAGCTCATAAAAACAGCCAAACTGGCCTTCAGCTATAATTACTGCAGTACATGCAAAAGTATGTACCCAAATTGCCGATAACTTACCATTACTATTTCATTTTCCAGAGACAGGTTTAGAACAATGATCAATGTCCTGGGAGACGCGCTGGCTGCTGGGATCATGGCCCACATCTGCCGGAAGGAGTTCATCAAGGACGGTGATGAGGTAACAACACCATGAGCCAGGGTGTGCCAGCGTGTGCCGTGTTACGGCAGAGAACCTGCGAGCTTTCAGCCTCTCACATTTGTTTCGTCTAGTTTATAAAAGGTGTTTCAGAGAGAGGACAGAATTGGGCAATGTGCTGCTTAGCCAGATGGGGTGGAAGGGTCCTTTTCCATGAGGTCATGCAAAAAGCCACTCAAGTTCAAAGCTTGCCAGCCAGCTGTGTTTGGCACACTGGGGCTGGGAGCAGGAAAAGCAGCTGCACTGTCCTGCAAATGCACAAGGTGCTGGAACTGTGAGTCTCACACAGAGTACCCAAGTCCTGACTGACCAGCAAATCGTCCTTCTTCTAAAAATGTGACCAGCAACAGAGCAGAGTGACAAATGTCTTTCTTTGAGTATTTGTGTGTAGGGGGAGGTAAAGGTATCTATGCGTGCGTATATGCATAATCAATAAGCTCATAACAAAAGCAACTACCCTGGGTGTTTTAAGCCTCTGTGTTAGCATAATCTGAAGCCACCATTGCAATAATTTCCTTTCTGGACTAGCACAAGCACATTGCTCCATTCTTGACTTCATTCTCAGGCATCTTCATGCCTTCTACATTTAATACAAGTCCCTCCTTACATCTTTGTTTTTCCTCCTCTATATCTCATTTCATACACCACACATACCCCTGTATTCTGTCCCTGCCTCCCTCCAATCCTGTGCTTTTTTTCTTTCCTCCTTGGCATGCATCATTCAGTCTTTCCGTAAACCAGGAACTCCTTCTCATGCTCTTCCTTCAAATCCTTAACAAAGGAGAATCTTAATTCCATGAGCCCATCATGCTTGGAGGTGCTAATCTCCAATCATTTCAGCTCATGGCAGACTCTCACAACCTTTCTTCCACAAAGACAGAATAGTTTATACAGAAAATCAGGACTGATTTTCATAAGGCATGTTTCATTTCTGTGCATCATTTGCAGTATTCTACACAGAACAACAATATTAATAGCAAAGTTTTATTCCTATTATTATTTCTCCCATTTTACAGACAGTCTTTCTGGTAAATCCCATTCTTATGCCTTCCTGCAACAGGCATTTAAAATTGCTGCTCTTTCAAGTTTTATATAAAAAGACAGGCCTTATCCTCAGAGGTGCTTAGCACCTGCAGTAATTACTGGTGACAGGATTAGGCCTGAATATATGGGCTACACATATAACTAGCTACAAAAAACCTAAATGTACAACCTAATGGTAAGGTATGTCATCTGTTACAAAGCCAGAAGTGTAGTCTGAGTTCCCGCATAACACAGGCCTCCTGACATTTCAGTGATATATTTAGAACTCAGTCAGAACTCAAGAAGAGATGTTTCAAGAATATAAAATCCCTCCTAAGGGATTATTTAGTCATCCATGATGAGATTTTTCTTTGCATCGTGCTCTATAATTGTATTAAAATATACTGTTAGTCTGCCATATGTTTTGGCTGCATAATTTGTGGAGTTAGTAATGTACACCCAAAGGCCAAATTTTCTCAGCTGCAAGCCCACCTCTTTTCTCTGCCAGTATTTACGTCTTATTTTCCCCATCAGAACTTCTGGTTTGATTTAAAGGACACTTCAATATTTAACTTATGAATCAGTCAATAAAATCCTCTATTTCTTTTGAAATAGTGCAAACTGAAAAGAGAGGTGTTAGTTTATTGGGTTAGAAGAAAGGCAGAAGACAACAATACTTACTGGTCTATGTAATTGCACTCAAGAGCAAGCACTGCCCAAAGCTCAGCGTACTGGTCACTGAGAGTCCGTATCTTTTGAACTTAGCCCTGAAATTCTAGTCTTTATTTACCCTACTTATACCACTTTACTGATGCAAGCAGTTGTTAGAGTAGGCATAAGTTAAATTCGAGTTGTGACAGAATTTGCATTTTTACATAGGTAGAGACATCTTCACTTTATCCAGATGGTGCAAAGGTGCTTTAGTGTATATGAGAAACAGGTCCTGGAAGACTGTGGAGGCCCTAGATAATCCTGGTGAATGTAAAGCAGACCGCAGGCTTTTCAAAGTAAAAATTCCTTTCCTGTTGTATACAGCAAACAGTGGCAGTATTCCAAATCTTAACACTTTTCACATAGGTGCCATTGATCTGTGAAACTAAGCCTATTAACATCCGTCAGATTGTGGCTTACCAGAGAAATGGCTGTGTGAAGACCATGAATGAATCTCGTGGACCAGAAACAGTGAAAGGGTTTCAGCACCACATACCCGTACAAGTGGAGCAAGAAGAAAGTCCAGTGGAGAATCACACTAAGAAACCCAACAGTAAAGACCACTGCACTATTGAAATAAATGAACTAGAAACAAATGTGTAACTGCTACACTCAGTGGTATCTCATACCCCAGTGACCTGATACCCAATCTCTACCTCACAGCTGGAAGAGGGACTCTTTGCCTTGAACAGGAAAATGTGGAATTATCGCCACCCTGCTTGTACTGGAGCTAGGAGACCAGCTGTGAACATCAGGAAAGGCACACAGCTTGCAAGAGACATGGGCTTCTTTAGGTGGAAGATTTGAATACTGAAAAATTAATTAATGGACAACTACTGTTTTATTCTGCACTCATTTGACTCCAATATAGTATTTGACACTCCTTTGGCTTCTTTTTTTTTAAAGTTTTTTTTATTTGCCCTTTTTGATTTTCTAACCAAAGCCTTTTTTTTGTGAATCTCAGTAATTATGAACACTGATTTATGTAGATTTTTTGCTATGTGAAAATGTTTTACCAAAACTGCTGAAGATACTAATTTTGTCTAATATTCGCTAAATATAGAGTTTGTGCTTAGTTTTAGAACAGCAGTAAGAAAATCACACTGATTTCCTGATCTCAAGAGGTTACATACATTACTAAATAACACTGCAAGCAGAGGTGAAGCAAAGCATGCATTTTTGCAAGAAAGCAGATTAAGGTAATTCTGATGGGCAGCCTTCGGAGACAGGCATTCAAGTGTGATACATAACATGAAGAATTCCTAGGTCACTGCAGAGCAGTTTGCCTTCCAAGTGCCAGATTTATTAACCTTTTTTAACCTAACTCTTCAGTAGAATCAGTAGTGGCAGAGGCAATGTGAACCCTAATCCATAAGCACTGGTGCTAATGTGTCCTCTCCTGTAATCTGTAGGTTGTTCTACTGGTAAATATGTATAAACCCAAAGCTCAAGCTCGTGAACCATACACTTCATCTTAAGGGCAGACTGAACACAAACTGGAACCTGATGATGCTGCGTAATATTGGGGGTTTGTGAGGAGTTTGCTGTGGAAACTGGCCTGTTATTTCTCATATAGGTGGTTGATCTACATTGAAAGTTACTCCCTTTCCACTATCTACTGAATCTTTCAGTTACAATAAAATCTGCTATGTTTCCAATGTTTGTGATAGAGAACATTTTTAATAAATCTGCCATTTAGAAATGGGCTGTCTGTGCACTTCTACTGTTAGTGTCTTCTTATTTCTCTGCCAAAATGGAGAGTGGAAGTGAGGAGACCTTTTGAAAAGCTGGGATTCAATCCAGAGATTATATACTAGTTCATACCAATACACTTGACATATTACACTTAGCTACCTTTGTCATACCAGTTTCAGGTAACATGTGCCTGGTATTCTAATATGCTCCTTGCATCTGTAGAGAAAAAATAACCCAGTCAAAAAGGACAATTTCTGCACTCACCAGAAGCAGAAGTGCTTCATACACATGATTAGTGGTTTTCCTGGGATGTGCAAATTCACCTCTTCTTTGAGGGCTCCTGTTCAGACTATTTCTTTTGTCATGCACTAAGTAGTTGATCTACATTGAAAGTTACTCCCTTTCCACTATCTACTGAATCTTTCAGTTACAATAAAATCTGCTATGTTTCCAATGTTTGTGATAGAGAACATTTTTAATAAATCTGCCATTTAGAAATGGGCTGTCTGTGCACTTCTACTGTTAGTGTCTTCTTATTTCTCTGCCAAAATGGAGAGTGGAAGTGAGGAGACCTTTTGAAAAGCTGGGATTCAATCCAGAGATTATATACTAGTTCATACCAATACACTTGACATATTACACTTAGCTACCTTTGTCATACCAGTTTCAGGTAACATGTGCCTGGTATTCTAATATGCTCCTTGCATCTGTAGAGAAAAAATAACCCAGTCAAAAAGGACAATTTCTGCACTCACCAGAAGCAGAAGTGCTTCATACACATGATGGTTAGTGGTTTTCCTGGGATGTGCAAATTCACCTCTTCTTTGAGGGCTCCTGTTCAGACTATTTCTTTTGTCATGCACTAAGTAGTTGCCTCAGAGGGCTGTAGTATAGGTAGTTTAAATATCAAATGGTAAAGCCAGAAAGAAAGAATGAACATACATCTTATTTGCCTCAGAAATGATGTATTAATTTGAAAATACATACAGTCGGTAACTATTTTCCTGATTTGATCCTAGAGTGAAAACAACAAACCCAGAACACAAAGAATAAGGAAGAACTGAAATTATTCAGAACAATTTGCTCCTGAATAAGTCCTGTAATGGACCTGCTCCACAGAGTGCCATTAAAATGAGAGACTTGGGAGAGCTGAGGCTGGTCTGTGCCTCTCTGAATGGGCAGAAGCACTATCTGACAAACACAGCATGTGATACTTTCATCTCAGCAGCACTGCCAGTTCCAGGAGGTCCCCTTCATCCTTCCCCAGCTGTCCATTCCTCCCTGCACTGCCTCCCCTCCTCTCCCAGCTGTACAGACCTAATTATTTATGAGGCCAGACGAAGAATCAGATGAGAAGTATTTTTAATTCAAACCAGTTCACATGTTTTTAGCACAGTCCTAACAAACAGTTGTGTCAACACAAGTGAAGGGGTGACACAGGGACAAGAACAAGCAGCCAGGGATGCAACAGCCTAAGCACATGTGGAGAGGGCAAGACCTCTGCATGCTGAGTTTGCCAGCAAAGAGAACATAACATAAAGTTTCAAATTCATGCAGTCAATTACAGATATGTGAAGTGATAGTAAAATCCTGCCAGTCATCTATCACTTTACATAGATAAAAATGATGAAGAAAGAGGCCAAGTAGATCCAAGATTTGCAATGAGCAGTTCCAAACTAAGTGGTTTTGGATGAGTCTGCCCACACACCATGCCAAGGTGCCGTGGTCTGCCAAGCAGAAAGTGCTGCTAGCCTTACCACCACCACATTCTCCAGCCACCTACAACCTTTGGCTAACTACAAAGTGCAAATCCTTTTGCCTGCTTGCCTTACTTAGTCTGATGTGCTTCAGCTTAGTCACATCTCAAGAGGTCCAACTAAACCAATTTCAGTGCTAAGAAGCTGCAACTTCCACTAGGAAAACTCCAGATGAGATAAAACTTCAAAGACCGGAAGAAGTAGCCAGTTGAGCTACACAAGTCCTACACAATAAAGAAAACCACAGTTTTGCCCTTTACACTCTGGCAAGTAGGGAATGCGGAAGTCTCATGTGTGAAGGCATATTTTTTATGGAATCAACAGGCTGTTCTAAAATCATCCTTCTGCATTCAAACCCTATTCATAGACTGTCCAGTTTTGCTTTGCAAAATTGACATGCCTTTTTTTTTTTTTACATTATATTGTTCAGATCTTTAAAACTTGAGTTTTATACCAATATGTGCCTCCCATTCACCCTAAAAATTACACCAATCATAACTTACCATTATTTTTGTGAGTGACTGTCTCCTGTAGTTTGGAGCTACTGTTTGGTGTCTTAAGCTTTGCTGTTACAAACTCTTTTTGGGACAAGTTTATTTTCTGTTGATGTTGTCTCGGGCCTTGCACCACAGCAGCACCTGCAATGTGAACCAGCTGGGAGGAAGGCAGTGGTCCAGTTTCTCACCTGACCTTTATCATTTGTGGTATCAAATACTGCTAACTAGAGGCCTACAGCACTTTAATTATTTGTTCTGGTAAATATGTGTTGCGTAGTGTAGTGTGACCTTGACTGCTACTACAGTCATTCCGTCCTAAGAACACAAGACACCACTGCTAACTCTGGAGAGGTAAACACTGAAGTTAAAATAATTTTTACAGTAAGCTTTCCTCCATGTTAGCTATTTTCTGTGTCTCATGGTGTTTGTTGTCAAGCAGCCTGACACACAGTGCAATTAGGCTAGCAGTAGGTTCCCCATCATATTTGCATGTATGGATCTGTTAGCTTTTTCCAGCTATAATCATACTTCCTTCCAACAAAAATAATGACGCTGTTGATTATCAAGTTAGAGTGCAAGCTTTGTGTTGGTAAATATGTTTCTCCTGCTTTCAGAGCATAAAAACAAATGTGACCTTTATAGTCTCAAAACTTTTATATTAAAAAAATCAATCAACCAACCAATCAATCACTAATTACAACAGTTTGCATGGAATACTTTCAAGTATATGTAGAAAGAACATATTTCTTAACTGGCAACATTTAACTGTATTTTGAAGTTGCGTCCCCATGCTAAAAAGAAAGGGAAGTTAGACAATTAAAGTATACTCAAGACACACTAGGAGAAAGTGTTGAGGAGAGAGAGAAGATAATTAAGAAGGGTGGTGCATTGTATACAGCTATGGAAGAAATAATTTGGGAAGTACCGAAATTAACACATGCTTATCAAAGACAGTCGTTTTATGCGGGTTAATTTGCAACTGCATTGCTCTAGATACACTACTGAGAGGAAAGAAGCCACTGATGATTGTTGTGGCATAAAACATCATTAAAGACATCTTAAAACAGGTTCTTCAGGATTTTGCCAATGCCAAGGAAGTTTTGAAGTGTTGAACTGCTGTAATAAATCCTTGTGCAAGAATTAGAACTAGGAGAAAGAGACACAACCAAAGCATTTACGCATCCCACTAACTTCCAAGGGCTTTTGGCTGCCAACCCAAATGCAGAAGTTTATGGAACTAATACAGTTACTCATATTCTCAGCTAGTCTTAATTGATGCCACTTAAATGACTTAATTGCAGCTAAGCTTATTTGTGCCACCTGAAAATGTATCCCAACATACAAATAAGATGATCTAAATAATTAGCTGAAATCTTAAATCGTAGACTCCCTCCATGCTATACTAGCAATTCTAAAGCACTTAGAAAATGCAGTAACTCTGTAACATCACCATTTGATGAGCTCTCTCTTTCAATTCTATAACAAACATTAATTTTAGTCCCTTTTTAACAACAGCAACCTGATTTGTAATACTTTCAAAGCAGACGGAAAGCTTCATATTCAAGCCAGATGGATAGTCTTGGAAATTACCTCAGTCCTTTCTGTGCTTTCCATAAAAATGAGGTAACTACTAGCAGAAGGTTGTTGATCTGTG